CTGGAAAAGTCCCTGAAAAATATGCTGCAATAAAAAAATTAAATTTGACTTTTGATTTTAATCGATTTTGTTTCCCACTTAACGGAGTGCCTCTGTTTCAGGTGTCGAAACAAATTTGTTGTACTCCTGCTTTTTGTAGCAAGAGCCTTCAAACAGATTTTGCAGTGAGGAGTTTGTTGCTCCAATCCGAGGTTCCAAGACCAAACCTGTTCCAGATAATTGAAGAAACACTGCCTTTTTTGAGAAGTAGATCCTCTCTGCTAGCTGTCATATTGTCATGTCATGTACAAAGCATCTTGAGGGACAGGCGGGGTGACCTCTGAACTACAGAAGCCCCAAAGAGTGCACTGGTGGGGAAGAAAATCTTGATTTTTCCAAATTAAATCTTTATAAATGGAAAATTTGAATTAATCGATTAAATTGATTTATTGCCCAACCCTATGTTATTCTAATTAATAATCAAATAATAAATTTTTGCAGTTACTAAAAGTAAAAGATAAACTCTAATCTTTTGTCATGTTGACACCCCACAAAACCATGGTGCAGTCAGATTTTATTTAGAAACCGTCTCATCATCTGTATGGATGGATGGATGGATGGATGGATGGATGAATGGATGGATGGATGGGTGGATGGATGATGTATGGATGATGGATGGATGGATGGATGGATGAATGGATGGATGGATGATGAACAGATGGGTGGATGGATGGATGGGTGGATGGGTGGTTGAACAGATGGATGGGTGGATGGATGGATGATGAACAGATGGATGGATGGGTGGATGGGTGGATGGATGGTTGAACAGATGGATGGGTGGATGGATGGATGGATGGACCGATGGATGAATGAACAGATGGACGGATGGATGAACAGATGGACGGATGGACAGACGGATGGATGAATGAAAAGATGGATGGATGGATGAACACATGTACGGATGGATGGATGGACGGACGGATGGACAGATGAACAGATGGATGGATGGACGGACAGATGGATGGATGGATGAACAGATGGATGGATGGATGAACAGATGGATGAATGGCTGAACAGATGGATGGATGGATGGATGAACAGATGGATGGATGGATGAACAGATGGATGAATGGACGGACGGACGGATGGATGAACAAATGAACAGATGGATGGATGGATGGATGGATGGACGGATGGATGGATGAATGAACAGATGGATGGATGGAACAGATGAATGGATGAACAGATGAATGAATGAACAGATGGATGGATGGATGGATGGATGGATGGATGGACAGACGGATGGATGAATGAACAGATGAATGAACAGATGGATGGATGAACAGATGAATGAATGAACAGATGGATGAACAGATGAATGAATGAACAGATGGATGGATATGAAACCATTAAATCCATGCAGAGGTCAGTAGTTCAGACATTAGTCCAAACAGGACCTGTTTCTCTCTGATGCAGCTCAGATCTTCACACTGAGCTGAACAGGGTCTCCTACCTTTGAGAGGACATCAGCAGCGTAACTCAGGTTCTTCAAAAAGACCGCCTCCATTTCCTGAGCAACTGTCTGTCTGTTAGAGTCCACAGGAATCCTCCCTGCCATCAGGTGAATCCTGAAGACAACAGAGCATTTGCTTCCATACATATGACCAGGACAAACAGAAACACCTGCTTTCTTATGGACAAAAGTGACAAGTGTCAAGCCACGCCCACTTTTGCCAGTCATCACCATTAGTGGAAGGAACAACTCAGGTTCTGATCCAAACACGTGAATAAAACTTGGTATTCAACAGAACCATTTTTTGAGAAATAAAACAATTTTTACATTGTTAGCTGCCCTTAAAGTTTGGTTATGATGAATTTGTGATTTCTATTTAAAAGGTTAACTGGACCAATGGTACAAATTTGATGTTTGTATGACTCAAACTGATAAAATATGGACATTTCTACATGAAGCTAGATAAAACTTGCAAAAACATAACTTGATTAATTAAAGGCACAGGGTGTAGGATTTTGTCAATTCTTTCAGCCGAAATTGAGATAATCACTAATGACAATAATAAAAAACATGTCTAATTATTGCAGACAAAGACCTTGTTTTATTATTTTTACCTTATAAAAAGCTGTTTATATCTCCATGGTCGCGGGTCGCCACTACAGGCAGCCGCCATCTTGTCTACGAAGGCTCATGAAGGACAAACTGCGGTGGCGGCATCAAAAACGGTTTTAGTTGTAATACTATAAATATAATATTTGTTGTCTGTCATTGTAGCTGGGATAATTTTACTTATTAAAGCTCATAATCTTACCACTTGAAACATCACTAGCCCTGAAGCTGCTGGTAGACATCACGGTTGGAATTATCAAAGGTTTTTGACACCTGAGAGACACCGTAGCAACTCGTTTGTGTTTGGAAGCGGGGGTGGGGGTGGGGGGAGGACCAGGGAGGATGATTCAACCACTCAACCACTAGATGTCGCTGAAAACAACAAATCCTACACACTGTGCCTTTAAAAAAACTAAACCACTTTTCTTGAATAAGCTTGCACCTTTTCCAAATTTGCATAATCAGTGTAACATTTTCAACTTTACTTTTTATTTCATGTAAATATTTCTGTGATTTTTTTTCCCTCAGATTTGTGGCCCTCCACCTCGCTTCATTTATATATTTTATTTACAAAGGTCATCATGCGTTATCATAGCTTTCATCTGAATTTGAAGTGTTTAAAAACGTACTGAGATGATAGCTCACCGTTTACAGTTCAAGGCTTTTGCGTATTTTACAGTCAGATCCAGACCTTGTCTGAAGTCGGCTTCTCTCCCGGGAACGGCTCCCAGACCGAGATCGCCTGCTCTGATATTTCCTGTAAAAACACCAGAACATCATCAGAACAGCATCAGTGTTGCATATGTTTGTAGTGTTGATGTCTTTCTGCTCTGGGTTCAGAGCAAAAACAATCAAATCATTTCCATTCCAGCAGGATTTTTTTTTTATATGAAGAGATCCATATGTTTGGTCAAATACATGAAGGGCTCCATTTGATTGGTGAAATACTTTAAGCTTCTGTCTGAGTGACACATTAATGTAAACATTTGAGCCAACCTTTTATTGCAGTTTATGCAGTTTTTTTGGTGATGTACATATTGCACAGGCTGTTATTGTGATGACGATACATTTTCAATATGTTGTGCAGCCCTAGTTTCATATCAGTCAATATTGATAATTATTGATCAGTTTTGTGTTTTATCAATTTTATTCATTCATTCATTAAATGTATTCATTTAATTAAAAAAAACAAAATAACTATATATGCACAGTAGAAAAAGAAATACACAAATCAAAATGAAATGAGAAGAGAAATTTGAAATAAGTAATAGGCAAAGGGTGAATGAAAATGTGTTTTAATTTTGTTTCTAAACATTGATAAAAGATAATTATCTGTTCTCTCCCTTCTTCATTCAATGTGGACAAATCATTAAATCATTTTGTGGTTGGGATCTACTGTCACTGGATGCAGACCACTTGATTTAACTGTTAGTCTTTGAAGTTTATTTTTCTGGAACGATCGGGAAGACCCCTCACAGCCTTTTCCTCTCTTCTCTATCTGATGATTACTTTCTGATGTTTAACATCTGAGCAGTAGTGGCTGGCAGACAGTTAATGCTCAGCAGTGTTTCCCCTACCATCATACAGGCTGTATAATAATTTTATTGATAATTATCATGAGGAGTCCTTAACTTTAGGATGTAGTTGGGCAATTAAATATTCATGTATGTGTAAATTTATTACCATAATTGCAGGTGAGTCGCGTAAATTTATGTTTTTATAAAACAAGTAGCCCCCTCCCTGCCAAGACCAATTTCCTAGGGGAAACACTGAACACCAATTTTGGTACGGCTGAAATACCACCTCATC